TCTAGCTAGAAAAAGAATCTCGTTCGACTTCAGTTTTTCGGTGGAAGAAAGACAAGGTTTATACAAGCCATTGCAGAAAACAAACAAGCACACGCTCACAATTCCAAAACACATCTTTGTATTCACTTACAACTTGATTTTCCGTGACATTTAAACAGAGGTAAATCTTCTAAGATTTATCGTCGTTGGAAATAAAGAATACTTCGCGTAAGATCTCTGAGTGTTTTTTAAGAGAAGATCGTCGCATGGTCATTTACTGGTGTTTGCCATATCAGTACTGACGTTTACTCATAAGTGTGCATGCGCTTTTTTTCCTCTCCACCATAGGTTTCTGATCATAAAAGATACTTACTAAAAAATGTTTCAAGTCTTTCAAAGTTTGCTTGGAAGCCTTTTGAGTTACCTTTACCAATTAAGTAAATAAAAATATTTCGGCGAGGCCTTTCTCTTTAATTTGAATGTCTGTCTGTTTTCTTTGTCATCTTTTCGCTGAACAGTTGTTCAGTTTAAGGAGGATCTTCCATAGTTAGACACGTAATTGTAGCCCTAAGTTCATTCGGGTTCTTTTGGCAAGCATTTTGTAAAGTTAGAAAAAAAATTAAAATGTTACTCACCAACCAAGGTCGGTCCGTATTGGGAAAAACTGTGCCCTCTGTCTTGAGAACCGCCCAAGGCCGTATCCAAGACATCGGGCTCAGGTTTTCCCAATACGGACCGGCTGGTGGATAACATATATCTCCGGCCAATGATCTTCCCGTCTGTGCTTGTCTCCTTCTCATTACAAGTTCCGTGGGCAGACAGGCGGTGTGCGCACTCTGATTGCGTTGCATCATGGTCGTAAAGCAAAAATTTAGTCATTTGTATCTTGACGCATTAGAGTGAACATCTTTGGTGGCAGCGAGATGCGGCGTGAATATACGTTGATTGTAATGGATTCACGTACTGTCTGTTGCTATCCCTTCGAAAGTTAAAAAGTTTGACGGGCCTGCGCGACTCCTGTCATTCCTCCGTCACCAATTCGTTCTTAGGAGGCAACTGACGTTATACAGAAAGATTCGAAACTGCAATTTGCCTAAGAATCTCGACACAAATGACAACAGTTAAACTCACAACAGATGGCGGGATGAATAATTTCAGTCAGTAATTATATTCCTAGACGCGAGTTATTGAACTGTGAATTGACCCTTGACATGCAAACGCATATTAGAGCGACAGAAACCTTGTAATACACGAACTTTTTCCACCGAGCGTAAATACGGGATGTAAAAGGAGAAGCCCCACGCCTCCTAAGAATGAACGAGTTTGTCTCGCTCCACGGTTAGCAAAAACGTACAGAGTTTCAAAATACCCTTCGAGAATAGAGGAAACCTATATGAGGGTCTGGATGGGGGTACCTCGAAAACACTAAACACTAAATTTTTTCCATCTATAACATCAAACGGTTAAATTTTAGGCTGTTTAACAACTAACACTAAAAAATTCACTGTTACACTAAACTTGATACAAATGTAAGCGCAAATGGCTTAAAAAAGCGAAAGATACTAATCAAGACAAACGTGGACATTCGATATGGAATAATATCTACAATTAATTTACAGACTGTGTCATTTTGATTACAATTTTGGGTTTGTTCATTGTTTATGTTTCTATCATGGAAAATCATGGGAGACCATTTCTCAGTAGAAGGATACATTATAATAATAATAATAATTTAATATTTATATTGCGCAAATTAACATGTGGATATGATCAAATGCGCACCACAACACTTTTCGGGGGACTTTGGCCGGACTGCATCAGCAGTTTACAAACAATCGAAGGAAACTTATTTGAAGATGCCCCCTCCCCCCCATTCCCAGTAAACAGGCCAGACCACATCACAGTAATCTCGTGAGTGGGTTCTTTAACGTCCCCTGCCTAACCAAATTAACTAATTACTAGATCCAGGAGACAGGACCTACGGTTTATTCGTCCTTATCCGAGAAGACTAGAATGTCTATCCATTTCTTGATATTATAGAAAGGTAGCGCATTCTCCTCAGTTATTTTAAGACCTTGAGTGTTGGTCCGGCCGGGGCTCGAACCATCGACCTCGACCTCCCGCACAACAGTCCAGCGCTCTAACCAATTGAGCTAACCGGGAGGCGGTTANTGTAGGAGAACTAGTGGCACTTCACCAACGGCAACTATTTCCAACCGTGCTATCGTTCACAAACGTGATGCTGGGTACGTGCGAGTCCCCATCGTCATCTGTGACTTGCGGCATAATTTGTTCCATTCCTTCTTGACCTTCAACAGTTGAGTCGTCGTGGAACATTACTTTGGAATGAGGAGGTTGAGCGTAATACACTGCTGGTGGGAGAGCTCCGGCGTTGTCTTTGTGGTTTCACTCCGCACTGTTCCCTGCCTCACAGGACGATATTTGTCCACCAACTCCTTCATCGCTACTTCAATTGGAGAATATATCCTTGCAGCTGTTGGAGGCTTCATCACTTTAATGTTTCAACAGTTGTGGTTCTGGGATCAAAGGTCTGAACCTTCCTATCTACAATGTCAGTGAAGACAATGACGTCGCCATAATGACACAGCCTCTTGATTTTACAGCATGAATCGGACGAATTCCGCAAGAGCTGTTTGACGTTTGAATTTGCGAGGTCACAGTCGTATAACCCACCTGCTTTACCAGATGCAGCCACGTGTGCTGACCGTCTCCACACAGAGATTCAATACTTGAAACACCATCTGGATAATTTATTTCTCGCATGCTAGTACCAACGACGGCAACCCCATTATAGCCTAGTTCCAATTGAATAATCCTTTGGTGTTCGTCATCCGCACACAAAAGGATGTCCGTACTCGCCACGCAAATTGACGTTGGTTTTACTAAAGGCGTGTTAAGCTGGATGATTTCTGGGTTCTTAACTTGTGCAGCTAAGGCTTGTAAATGTGTCGCAAGTCGCTTCCCAAGAATTGGCATTGTGCCCTCCTGTGGCAAGCTAAAACGACCCAGCCGTGAAAGTAGCTCTGCTCGCGATTTCAGGCCCTCCGGCTTTAAACGTACTTTGCCTTCCAAGTCAATAACACGGATTGCCCCAGATCCTCTTTCAGAAACGAAAACTATACCACTGGTAAAACAAAGGTCCCTTGCATCCTTGAATGTCTCTTTCCGAACGTGAACATCAACTGGTTGATGCAAACGTAATTCTACGAGACGAGTCTCTCCGAATTCGATGTCATAGTCTAACACGAGCACTTTTCCTTGAGGCCCACTTTCAACTGCAATGGGTCTTTTGCATACCCCACTCTGGTTTTCCAAAAGCGATACTTTTCTGGAACTACTGTGTGCACGATCAAACTTATTCCTCTCAGTACCTCTAGTACCGAGGTTCTAGTAAGGCGCACGATCGGTTCTACAGCCATCCTGCACTTTATGAATTTGAAAGATCAGTTGTCTACTCACCATTTTTCTGCCTTTAAAAGCACACACAACCCACAATTCCTCTATTCGCTCCGACGAAGGGCTAACGCTCGAAACGTCAGCTTTTATAATCGTAACGGTGGCCAATTTACCATTTCAACTTTGTTGATATATTCAAATTATTTCGTTACTCCCACCGACGCAGCCCCAAACAGTTTCTTTAGAAACTATCAGCCTTTATTCA